TCTTCAGTTATTAGGCGATACTGCATTGAATCTAATAGAGTGATGGACCCGAGTTTTTCCTCACTAAGCAGAGCTTGATGAGAAGGCGCCGTTCAAAATTCTCGCCATATAACCTGTCGGATCATCAGGCTAATTTCACCAATCTTATCGTGTTACTGTCGACCAGCCGCCTGCATTCTTCTAGTTTCTTCCAATAGACCCAAATAACCTATTTTCACGCACACCTCGCCCCTTGTGGGCGGGGCACAGTACTGCTATCTCATCAGTGTTCCCATACTGCCGCCTGTACTCCTACCAAATTCAAATGCTCTGGTCTAAGAAAACAGTCAAGAGAACAGGAGTTACTAACTTTCAGCGAAACAGACATACACGTACATATTAACATACATGTACACATACACACATATACATAAACATACACATACACACCAACACGCTTCGTGGGCCATGAGTGAATTCCTGCTCCAGTCCTGTGTGTTGAGTACACTGGTGCTTTTCAAACTTAGTCCAATTTGACTGTGTCATTTACCAGGACTACGCTCATTTCATGCGTGCACCGCCCCCTGCATCCCCCNCATCTCCACTTCAGCCACTTCCAACCACCTACTGCCACTGTCTTGATCCTGCCGGCTGCACATGTACAACGTTGGAAAGTTCAAATTCCATCGGAACAGAAGGTATGAATTTTTGGTCACACTCGTACATGCACACACACATTCTAAGCGCTTTATACATGATAGAGTTCAGCAAACACTTTACAGAAAACAATCTCCGCTGAACTACAGATTAGCAGTCAACTTGCGAAGGACTGATAACCAAAGAGCGAAGCCTCACACTGTTAAAGGCCCGGTTCACGATAAAAATTATTACTGAGTTCTTCCCCTAGGAATACTCAGTGACCCCCAAGGGTAATAGAAAGGACCCTCCCGCGCCCAAAAACTCGACGGCTAGGGCATAGTGAAAGCCCTGTTCCCGGCTCACGTGGCTTTCCCATCCCTCGACCGATATCACGTCAGACGAATGTACAAATTGCAAACTTTCGCTATAGGACCCACACACAATCAGCTGATTGCAGAGTAATGAAGCGATAATTTCCTCCTATTCTTTTGTTCTCTGTTATTCTTTTTGCTGCCGCGATTCCTTATTTGATTTCCTTCTCCGAGAGGCTGAAAAAGGTGAGCTACTTTTGCTGTTACTACGGGTCTTTTGTTAACTTTGCTTATGAGTGAATGATTTTTTGCTTACAGTAGTCAGCTATTCACACCAGGACCTACACGTACGCAATGACACACAATTTTCAGTCCGTCCAAACGTCCCATTCTTGCTCAATTTTCTAGTCTCACTCTCACCCAGCCCACTTTTCAACAATTTTTCGAAGGCTTTTGGAAACACGGTTTCACGCAGTTTCTTCGCGTTCATTGCACTGTTTTCCATCTTACCTTTCTTTTTGTCATAAGCTATATTATACAAAATTATCATGAACTGTGCCTTTAAGATGTGAATGCTCGAAAGTGTATTCATTTCTAACGGAATGCAAGAAAATTCAATTACCCTGCGCCGCTGCGTCACAAAGGTGATCGACAGTCGGCAAAAACCAACCTTTTTTATACATTAAATTAATGTGGCATGGAAGTTCGACTTTGAAAGTTGGCCGAGGGATAAGAAGTATGAGAAATGAAATATTCAGTTACCCTGATCATTTCGATGAGTCGTGACCGTATCATTTCACCGAGAGTGAAGAAAACCACGGACATCATAGCAGCGTAAGCAGCCACCAACTGCCAAAGAATAAGAAAGACGTTCGCTTTCGAAGGCGATGAAAATATGAAGGAGATGGCGTAAATGAATGGCACACATGACCAAAAGTATAGAGCGAACAGCAGTATCACGCTGAAACAAATCCGAGAAAATCTTCATTTTTCCATATTTTATTTTACCTCACAAAAATGCTGGTGTCAGAGAAATGCTAAAAAAAATCAAACTCACAATCCGAGATACCCTTCCATCCAACCACATATTATGAACACTGCCAAGAAACATGCGCAAACAATGGAGTAGAAGAGGAAATCGAAGAGGAACGAGGATGTCCAGAACACGATCGGTGAAATGCCCGTCAAAGATTGCTGAAATATGGAAGCATGATCTCATGAGAATAAGTGATCCAATAGTTCATTCAAAGTAGCTTGGGTTTCCCTGATCCGACGGACTTTTCCGTTTTATGACCAGAATACAGACTGCTCCGCTTATTTATGATCTTACGATTAGGTCGACCCAAAAAAAAAGAGATCATCTAGAAACACAATAAACGGACCTGGTGCGCAAACTTGCTAACGCGCTCTTCGACTAAGAAAATAACAAAAGGTGATGTTACGAGTGTCAAGGCCAGAACCAAAAATAAGCCCAGTGACTTGTCCACATCTTTTTGACTCAGAACATGCCGGAACGATGATTTGCCTGTGGAATTGGCAGGCAAATAAGCGTGCAAGTGGGTACGAATAATTCCATCAGATGCTGAAAAGGTATGTTCTTGGATGACAACTCCAATCACATAACTTCGTTGGTACAACTGAATTCGAATCTGAACTTTGATTTTGGGAATAAACAGGACTCCGGAGAAAGGCGCTGTCAAAACCCTGGCTAATCAGGGTGATTGTAAAGCTGCGTATTTATTTCTAATAAAATCAATTTCTGATCGTGCTCACCATTCGTTTCAACTTTCAATCGCGCATTATCGTACGCATTTATTGAAACTGGCGAAGAGTGGTAAGCTTCCTTATTGTAGAGCACTTCGACAGCGTCCTGGGCGAATATTGCGCCAAATCCAGGAGCTGGCATTAGTCTTGGCAATTGATCTACCCAGATGGTCAAGTTGTCGTTAGGGCCAAGCTCATAGACCTGAACGTTACTCAGTAATAGAAACATTGAAATTCAGACGAAGAGGCACTAATGAACGAGAAAAGATACCTTAGCTTCTGGCCCTTTTGATACAATATCGATATATGCGTTGACCAATGGAGACCTATGCTCCACTTTCACAGGAATCCGGGACGGACCGAACGTCGCTACAGAAAACATCCGTCCCGAATCTATAGAATGGTTAAGTAAGAGGATGCAGTTTTTGTCGTTGACACATTTGATACATTTCGTTTTCGTGATGCCCCCCCCCCCTCACACATACACACATTGAACAGGGTCTCAGTGGTTTGGGCATGTTCTCGATATGGGATAAGATTCCCTAACCATACGTCTACGTCACTGGCCACTGCACCACATATTGGACTAGTCTAGAAAAACACAACAAAAACATAGAGAATTGAGAATAAATCCAGACGAAAGGAATTTTTAAAACTAACCTTTCATGCCAGTCGGCTTTACCCAAGTTTTTGAGACGTAAGCGATCGCAATCAGAAGCGCCAGAGGAACCAACACCTGACCGAACAATTGCGGCCAGTTTCGAACGAAGTAAAGAAATCTCTTCGTGAAAAGGGCACATAACTGGGCGAATACAAGCGCACAGCATTTATGGCGAGCCACTGAAAAATATTCATGTAGCCACACATAATCAGTGAGATATGTTCAAACAAAAAAGTCTGTGAGGTTTTACTCGAAAATATGAAACGAAAAGTTTCTGTATCTGCTGAATTAATAGCTGATATGATCAGGATTTAGAAAATGAAAGTGGCGGAAAGCATAAGTCTTCACGCTGCGGTCGGATATCACGATCTCACCTCGCTGTGCTCGAATCAACTCGTCATTGCAACTGATACTTGCATCAATCATACCATTCTGATCAACATGCTCAGCTACTCTGAGGAATACCTGAAAAAATGCCAAGAATTACTGTAGCACCGATAATGTGGTGGAGGGACAAGAGGATGCAGCTGTAACTAACCACGGAAAGATCCCAAAACGAAGTGCTCAAATGGATTTGGCTTGTATCGCTACACTTGTTTTTGGATGCTGATATCAAATCCGCATTTCATAATTGCCAATTGCTTAATTTGCTGCCCGGAGTTATGGTGATTTTAGGTGGCCAAACGGGGTATGCGACCATAAATATATGCACATATGTTTTCACTAATTCAGCCGTGGATCAAAGCACTGGTAGGTGTGACATTTGTGCGAGAGCAGGTGCTCGTGCGCAGGGAGAGTCGGGGTGGATTTGAGGCTTTGTACAGATCATTCCTACCTTTTCTACTCTTCTTTCTTCTTTCAGCTACAAACCTTTTCTACAATTTTATACACTATTCTTACTCGGAGGAAAGTAGTATAGTAGTAAGTGGAGCAGGCGCACTATCACACACGGCTGATCCGGAAGCGAACCATGGTTCCACTTCCACCAGAAAATCAAGGGGTCATCTAAAGGCCACTCTGAGTGGTAGTCTAGTGGGGGGAAGGGGGGAAGGG